TATTTTGTTTATTTGAGTAATGGTCTCCATGTAGCCCCAGCTGCCCTGAAACTTGTTATGTACATCAAGCTGGCCTCAATCTCACAGAAATCTGCCTGTCTCTTCCTCCCAAGTGCTTGGATTATAGGCATGCAGTACCACATCAAGCCTTTCTGACTTTTTGATATAGGTGCTAAGAGCTAATAAATTTATTTCTTAAGACTTCTTTTCATTTTTTCCCAGAGGTTTTGTTCTGTCTGTATTTTCATTTAATTACAGAAATTTTTAAAAATTTCTTTATTTATTTCACATTTAATCCATTCATTCTACTCTATTGTGCTGCTTAGTCTCCATGAGTTTGTGTAATTACTAGGGACACTTTTCCTATATATTTTAACCTTTATTACAATGTGATCAGATTGCATAAATAAGAATTGCTTCAATTTTTCTGTATTTGTTGAGATTTGTTTTGTGTAACAGTATATGTTCAATTTTAGAGAAACTTGCATGGGCTATGGAATAGAATGTTTATACTTTGGTATTTGGGTAGGATATTCTGTAGATATATCTTAAATTCAAATGATGAATGTGGTAATTTACTTCTGATGTTTGTTTCCCTATTTAATTTTTGTCCAGATGACTTGGCTATTAGAGAAAGTGGGGTGTTTGAATCACTGTTACTGCGTTGGAGTTAGTCTCTCTCATGATGCTCAGGAGTATACTTTCTATGAAACTGAGTTCACATGAGTTTGGTGCATACATGCTTAGGATTGTAATGTCTTCTTGGTTAATTGTTCCCTTGATCAGAATGAGCGTCCTTCTTTTTCTCTTCTAATTACTTTTATTTTGAAGTCTATATTGGCAGATATTATAAAACTGACACCTGCTTCTTTCCTAGTCCGTTTTCATTAAGGTATTTTTTATCCATCTTTTCATTCTAAGATGGAGCCCATCCTTGAAGACAAAAATGAATTTTTTGCAGACAGCAGGAAGATGAATTTTGTTTCTTAATCCATTCAGCTAACCTGTGTCTTTTGATTAGAGATTTGATGACATTAATGTTTAAAGTTATTATTGAAAGGTTTGTGTTGATTGCTGTCATTTTGTGTTCTGTTTGTCTGTGTATTCCTCTTTTATGTTTCAGTAATTATAGCTTCCTTTGTTTCTTTTTCCCTGTAACCTCTTGACTATGATTATTTCTTTCTTCAGTCCACATTGCTGCTTCCTATGTACTCTGCAGGGCTAGTTTTGTGGACATGAATTCATTCAGCCTGCTTATATCATGGAAATTTTTTTCTCTTTCAACTATGACAGAGAGTTTTTCTGGGTAAAATAGTCTTGGCTGGGATCTGTGATCTTTTAGAACTTAGAGTACATTGCTCCAAGCTCTTCTGGTTTTAAAGTTTCCACTGAGAATGCAGTTGCTATTCTGATCGGTTTTCCTTTATATGTGACTTGTGGCTTTTCTCTTTGAGCTTTCAACATCGTCTATTTGCTGTATATTTAGTGTATCAATTAGAATATGCTATGGGGAGTTTCTTTTCTGATCCTATATATCTGATGTTCTGTCTACGTTTTGGATCTGTAGGGTATGTCCTTCCTTAAGTTGGGGAAGTTCGCTTCTATGTTCCTTTTGAATATCTAGTCTATGTCACTTACATAGAATTATTCTCCTTTTCTATGCCTACAAGTCATAGTTTTTTTTTCATGATGCTTCAAAGTACCAGCATATTACTTTCCAGTGGTTCTTTAAATTTTTCATATTCTTTAATGAGCAGTATAATTACTCTATTTTATAGTTTTAATAACCTATTTTCTATTTGATCCATTCTTTCACAAAGAGTTTCTCCTGACTTTTCTAATTGGTTTATTGAGGTCTTCAATTTTCAATTCCATCTTCATTTAAGATGGCGTTTTCCTCAGTAATTCTAACTTTACATTGTATTTAGTTTGCAAATCCTGAACTTTTCTTCCTCAGTTCATTCAGCAGTATATTTTTGTTTTCTTGGCCTCCACTCAGGAGATTACTTTTATCCTCTTTAAATTCATTGACATGTTTGTTCATGTTTTCTTTAAACTCCTTGACTTCTTTGGTCATGTTTATTATTGTTCCTTTAATGTCTGTGCCCTGGGGTTCATTTAGGTAACTCTTATTGTAGAACATTTCTATAGTACTATTGTGTTTCTGTAGGGGAGGGGTCATATTGTCTTGGCTTTTTATATTGTTTTTTTAATGATATGGCCTGGCCATTTGGGCTTAGGTTGGTTTTGAGTGTGATATAGATTCAAATTTGCCTATGCTGAGTGTAAGTTTTCTTCTGTTTTTGCTGTTTTCCAAATATTGTTGGTTTCAGATCATATATGAAGAATTGGTGGCACAATCCTTCAGACATTCGGCCTTGATTTTTAAAAATTTTATTTAGTTTATTTTATGTGTATGTGTGAGTGCCTGTTGTATGTGTACTATCTGTGTGTATGCAGTTATGAACCACAATGTAGGTGCTATGAAGCCTGGTCTTCTGGAAGAACAGAAAGTACTCTTAACAACTGAACCATCTCCAGGACCCTGAGTCTTGATTTGATTGGAGGGAAAGGAGTGATTGCAATTAGTTGGTAAACAAGAAAACATGGAGATGTGACTCCTTGCTGTATCTGCCTGGATGAGTGCACAGGCTGAAAAATCATAGCTACGCCTGGAAGTGTGTGGATGGTGGTAAGTGTAGGCTAGGTTCTGAGCAACTCACCAGGCTGGGTCAGTTTGCATTTGGAGTGACACAACTTAAGTCTGGAAATGCATCACAGCATTGACTATTGATCTGAAAGATGGGGGAGTTTGCAATTTAGTGATAACAAAGAAAATGCATGAATGTGACTACCTGTTGGGTCTTCCTGGGCTGGTTTACAAGATGCTCTATTCAAGTGAGGTCTGGAAGTGTGGGCATGGTGTGGGAAGACAGGGGTTTGGGTTTCTCACTAGGCTGGGCTGGTCTACAAGCTGCATGCACTTAGCTAGGCCTCGGAGTATGAGGACAACATATGTGGGTGAGAACTTGGGAAATGAAAATGTTTTTAAATTTTTTATTGAATTTTTGTGTACTTCACACAGAGGGCAGACTGGCACCCTCCTATAATCCCCCAACTGGAATTCATGTGTTCTGTCATTTGTGTCAAGAGCCAGGAAGGAAGTGCATGACCATATGAAAATAGAATCCTATAAGTTCCTGGGGCTCTGCTCATATGAATCTAAAGCAATGCTGTCAGTGTACACAAGTCCCATGAAAACTCAAGGAGACAAAAACCCAGCACAGAACTGGGGAAATGGACAGCAAAACCCAACCTTAGTTGAAGAAATATTGGCAACTGATTATGCTGGGTGACAAAGAGCTGATCTTTCTAAATCCAGGGATTCTAGAAAAGCTGACTAGACCTTAGTCGATGAACTTGCACTGAGGAATGCCTGGGGACACTAATTTGTCACAATAGGCCTTAACCTAAACATTTTTAATGTGAATATTTT